TAATATCCTTTTTCACCCAAAGACGATGACTGACACAAAACATAAATCTTGCCTACTAACATTTCCTACTTTATTCAGAATAGAAAGTCAAAACAAAGTATAAATCATGCCTTTAACAGTTAGTTTTTTTTCAAGAAGAGAAATTCAAACCAAAGCGAAATTCTGCCTTTAGCAGTTTATTTTATCTAACATAGGTGGAAACAAAGCATAAATCAGTTGAGTTGAGTAGAAGATCACAATCCCATGGGAGGTCGGCTGCCTCGTAAGTGATGCTAGTAAACAGGTCTTCTGGTTGTATGCTATCCTATTTAATCCCAATAATTTACTCTACCCGTACGTTACTTTGTTTTTTAGCAGTTTCATTCCTTCTGAATTCTGCTAGAAATCTCCATTTTTAATGACAATTTTCATAAGAAAATCACTTGTTGACGTTAATTAACTTTGAATTAGTAACTTTGCCATTTAGTTTTGTCATTGGTGGGCAATGAAAAACATTTTACAATGGTAAGTCAAATGACTGCGATACTGACAATTTCTATATACCAGGTGATTCAGAAATGAAGAGATATACGAAGATAATTGTTAGAGGTAAGGAATGAGGTGTAATATAATTGAGCTCATTCAAGATTCATTTCAAGGTCATGCTTCTTGAAACTTTTATTAATATGAACTAAAAATGTCAATTTCAACAGTACAGACAACAACAAATGAAATAATTTAACCCAAAATTACCCAAGTCGTTCCAAAATAACAACAGTTATAGACATAAATGCAGATAAGGTAAACAGCCTTTGTCAGATTTCTTGCTATTTTCACGATAATAGAAAACGGTTAGACGAAACTTTTTTCTAGAGAATAATTTGTCTTCGACAAATAAATAGTTATTTTTGATATATGGTATTTGTTTGAAATTTTCATCATATTTCAGTGTGAAATGTTTTATTAAGAAATAATTAAAATGCTTATCTTTCTTGTATATTTTAATTATTGATTTTTATGTCTTCCTACATTTTTGAACTTTCCTATAAAGTTCTTATGTTATAAAACTGTACATTTTGCCCTTGTTTTGATTTGTAAAACACAGCACGCAGTTTCACTGTGTTTACGATCATTGGTATACAATAAAAATAATTGTTTTAATCATACAAACAAGTCAAAATTTTAAAATTGATAATCAGAAGGTTCCATTTGATGTAATAAGTTTTAAACCTGTTGTATACTAATTTATATATATATTTCTCCTAGTGATCATCTTTGTTCATTCAAACAGTTACTTAGGACGACAAGGCCTATATATATATATATATATAATTATAATTAACACAACGACCTTGTCGACGAAACGAAATTTGATACGGTTCAGTGCATAATAATTTAACTAACTCTACCTCATCTAGTCCTGAAATATATTTTTTGAAGACCTTACTACAACATCATAATTAAAATGACGTATAAAATGATAAAGCAAAGTTTTAGAACGAAGAATTAGAACTGTATCTGTGGTGGAAGTTGTTGAAAACATCTTATCATCTAGAAGCATATCACCAAGCTAAGCTTTTGTCATTTTGTTTCGATCTGTATTTGAAATGGAAGCCATATTAGCCTATTCAGTTGGAATAACAAAAAAAAAATATATATATATATAAAGCTCTCATTTCATGTTTAGATTTATTAGTTTCTAGCCTGTACCTTCTCGAAACTGAGTTATAGGCAAGTACGTCACACCATCGTAATGGAGGTTGAGAAACAGGAATTGCCTAAAACTCGATAAAACTACAATTGTATTTAAATTACAATGTTAAGTTAGCGCTCTATTGTTAAAAACTATTAGAATTTTCTACTTAAGGTGCTGAAAGTTTCGTATTATGGCCAGAAAAAGTTCAGGAAGTTCATATATATATAAAAAAACGATTTCATTTAAAGAATCGGGGTGAACTGATATCAACCTAAAATTCTGATGCATAAAATTCAATAAAGCCCTAGAACTTTTGTTTTAAATGAGCAATTAGAAGCTTATTTTCTATAATATTTAAATCGATAGGACAGTGAAGTGAATGCACCCATCCGGGTGTGATAGAGTTTATTACACAAAATATGACAAAGTTGTTGTTGGGTAATACTTTAACATAGACGTTCAACTGATGAAAACTGTGAACGACTCTTAACAGTATGTTGGCCCGGCACGGCCAGGTGGCTAGGGCACTCGACTCGCAATCTGAGGGTTCGAATCCCCGTCACAGCAAACATGCTCGCCCCTTCAGTCGTGGG